CTGTCGAGATGGATTGTGGAGGTGATCAAGCTATGCTACGCTTTGGCTAAGAAACCTCTTCCAGGTCAGCTTCGCGCCCACTCTACCAGGGCGGTAGCGGCTTCTACAGCTTTCATGAGAGGTATGCCATTGGAGGACATCTGCAACGCTGCGACTTGGGCTACTCCGCTCACCTTCGTGAAGCATTATGCCCTTGATGTCCGGTCTACTCGTCGTGTGGCGTTGGGTCGGTCTATCTTGCAGACGGCGCAGGTGTAGGGCCTCGGCCCCTCCTCCAGGTAAGAGTTATTGCTTGCTATTCTCCCAAGGGTGTGATGCACAGAGACCATGAAGAAGATAGGCAGGTTGCTTACCTGTAACTGGTGATCTTCGAGTGGTCATCTGTGCATTCACACCACCCACCCTCCTTCCCCTCTGCTCTCGGCCCTTCATCTTGTTCTTTGAAGGCTGTTGGGCGGCGGTCAGAAGGAACTGGCGGGTTCTGCGTGCCCCTCCTTGGTTATGCGCAGTGGAGCCCGGCACGTGACCTAGGAGGGGGCGTGAAAATCCCTTTGGCTTGCTACCGGTACGAGCAGGGTCTGCGCAGGCGCAGACTATCCCAAGGGTGTGAATGCACAGATGACCACTCGAAGATCACCAGTTACAGGTAAGCAACCTGTCTATTTCATAGGTCTTAAAACTGGTGTTTACACTAAGCAAAGCTTGGAAGGATCAGTCGGATTGAACTGAAATGTCCCTTCAAAATGGGCTACATTACTGGATTAAGTGCGTTGGTTGATGCTGAGTTTGATGTGATGAACTTTATATGTGCCATCACTACTGTCAGTGGGATAATTTCCCCTCATGCATTGTAAACGTGTTAATATAATTGATAAAAATGTATATTTTATTTTTGCAGGCTTTACAAATCAGTATTTTTCATGTTCTCATGTAAGCATATTCAAAATGGTTTCAGTAATATTTTTTTACAACCTTGGATGTTCACACTTGTTTAATTTTAATATGCTGTATATTAGTGAAACCTTTACCTTTATATTAGTGTGACGTTTTCTTCTTTCTCCTCCCTCTAGTGGTGAGACATTTTTCAAGATGTTGGTGGAGGATATAACCTATGTTCTTTTCTTTTTTTAAAAAAAAAGGGGGGATGAAGAATAATTCTGTTTTGTGTGGTAACTTTCTTCCTTAGATGTAACACCGGACTCTTAAATGTTGAAGATGTTCTGACAAGTTTTGACAATACAGGAAATGTTTGTAAGTATTTTATTTTTCTTGAAGTAGAGGCTTAATAGTAGAAATATAGTTTATGCTATTATGTGCAACATTTGTGTCAATGCTATTAACTGCAGTGCCTATATAGACAGCATCATGTGTGCCATGTGCTCAGATAGTTGTGGCTTTATTCCATTTAAAGCACTTAACTGCTGGTACACCATTCTGAGCTGTGGGTCACTTAGTATATAAGCCAGATCTATGTTTTCTGTGCTGCCAAATAGTTCCTCATGGCTGCAATCGAAAACATCTTTCTAGATCTGTGACTTCTCAGTCCTCACCCCATTTGTAACTTGTTTCTGAAACATCCCGGGATAGTTTGCTAGGTGATACAGAGAGCTGTTGTTGGAAAGAGGGGTCTTGTAATCCCTGATGTGCACATGGTGCTCAGTAAAAATGTTTCTTTAAACTGTAAAGAGCCTTGCATGCACAGGAGGAGTTAGTCCAATCTGTCCTTTTAAAAGCTTTTCTGCTGTCTCCTTCCTAATTTTTAAATCTGTTGTTCACCAGAAGGGCTGCAAATATGTCACTGGGTACAGAATACATTTTTGAATTAATAGAAAACCACTTATCCACTGTTTAGCAACAGAAGTGCTCTCTTATGTTTGATAACTGTCAGTGACTCATCCTTCCAAGTTGCAAAACCATAGATCTCTTGTTTCTTTTAGGAATTCTTTTTGTTAGTGTCAGCTTCAGCTAGGGCAAAAAATAGAAAAGCAGTTCATGGCTTTTATCTTTGACTGTCCTCCTGATGACAGTGTAATGGTTTTAGTGCTGGTATTGATACTGAGGCCAAAAAGAATGCTGATCCTGGGTTGCACTGAGATTAAGTATGGCATTGCTTTGGCAGGGATATGACATACTCTGTAAAGCAGCTTTCACACTGGTAGTGCTATTTAAAAAATAAGACTAGGTGGTGAAATCTTTCAGATCAAGACTAAAATCTGCTTTGTGCTGATTAAAGCAGTTCTCACAACCTGATCTTATGTAGAGTTATGCACAGGTCCATTCACTGATTTCAACAGGCCTAAGTGTACTAGTCTATCATAAGGCTGAGCTATAACTGCAACCTTGATTTTTCACTAGTTGCATGTGCATTTATGTCCTTGCTGCTCCACATCTTCCAGCTCAAACGTATCAGACAAAGTCACATTGACTCTGGAAAGCTTATACCCCCAAAATCTAAGGTGCTACTGGACTCGTATCTACTGTTCCAGCCCAAAACTTTTTACCCCCCCCACCTCCTTTTTTTCTGGCTGTTTCAGTACCCCCTCCCCAAGGATCCCTATGCGTAGAGCCTTTCTAAGGGCCTTTTAATGGGAATAATGCAGCAAGGTTGTGAGCATGATGTCTGTGGAAAGACACATTGTCATCTTTTTGCTCATAAACAGCTCTGCCCCAGGAGTATTTCTCACAGCAAAACTGATTCTCTGCTTAAGGCCTGTGATCAGTGAATGGTTGAGATTTCAAATGGTTGAGTACACACCATCAGGGTCTGATATAGTATGGCATGGATGCCCACTCTGTTTTGTACTGTGGTTGGAGCTATGATTCACTTGGGTTGTCTAGGTTTTAGTGCTGGCCCTGGATAATGCAGACAGAAAGTGACCCTAGAAACTTGGGTATAAAGAGAAAGAGAGTAAATCTAAATTATTCTTAAAACAATATATTTGCAAGTTTAACTATGTAAAATTATTAATGCTTAAAATAACAATACCTTGTGTTTCTGCTGATTTTTTTTTAAAACCAACAGCCCATATAAAAATAAAAAAGATTTTTGTAGTTCAATCAGAATCAAAAAAGAAGCTAACATTTTTCTTCCACAGGCAGTAACATGAAACTGTTCTTCTTAAATAGGCCTGATTCACCTTGAAATTCGTCTTTGTTTCGTATGAACCTGAGATTACACTTCATTGCACACTGACATTTCAGGAGCAGAGAAATGTCAATTTCACAAACTAACTTTTGACCTCTAAACAACAAGAACAACAACAAAATCTAAAGGATAGGTAATTGTGTAGGAAAAATGCTTCTTGCAATTCAGTCTCAACTTTGAAGCATTCGTCCTAGCTGAATGCCTCAGGCTTTATTACGGTCGGTCCAAAGAATACTTTGAGAAATGTGTATCTTGAAGTACTGCCAGGTAGGAGAAACAATTCACAAATTTACAGGAGAATGGAGTTTCATTAGATTTACAAGTTGCCAAGGGAATAATACTAACACTAGGGGAGAGAACTCATTGTGTGTGTGTGTGTGTGTGTGTGTGTGTGTTGGAATTGCTGATGTCAGCAGAAGGTGAAGCTAGAGAACAAAAAAACAGAGAATGCTTTAGATTTTTTGCTAATTTCCCCCCCAGTAATTCTACTATTCTGAATATAACTGTTACAACCGTATCTGAAGGACATTTTTGGAAATTGTATTCTGATATTTCTGCTGATCATTGAACCATATTTTTTCTGGTGGCACATATGGCTCTTAAAGTTTATATTTTAGGATTAAAATAACACTGGTTTGCGAAAAAAGCATTCCCAGAAGTTTGCATAGGTTTGGGGTTTTTTGCAAAGTCCAAGCCATTTGTTTGCAAATAATGTGTCTCCATATTTCTTAGCTTTTATTATGTGGTTTAATATATGCTTGGCGTAATACATATATATTTCCCTTTCTAAATCACATTTCTCTGAACAGTCCAATTTCCAAATTAGAGTGGTAGAAGTATTCAGTAAACTAGACATTAGTTCAGAAAAAGATGTTGCCACTAGCTGGCAGCATTATATTAAATATGAATAAACTTCATTAAAGCAGTGCATAAAAACATTTACCACCAATTGCCTGGTACATGTAAGTGTCATCCTGAGAAAACAATTAAATTCTTCCCTAGTTAAGGTAGAGCCTGCAAAAATGTGCCCCTTTGATCATTAGTAAATGTAGCTACTGTGAACTTTTTCATTGCAGAAGCGCATCTGAAAATATAATAGGGAATGGAGAATTTGTTCCTTTAAGAAAGAGACTTTGCGGGTTTATCTGTACAGTTCCTTGATCTCTCCTTAGGAAACTATTTGTTGTATGTGTTTTATTTGTGATCAGTCTTGGTGGTCTTCATTTTCTAACAGGGTGTGACAGAAACACCCAGTTCATCTCTCTCTTTCTCAGACCATACCCTTCTGAAATACTATGTGTATGTATGGCTTAATAAAAATGTGTTCCCGGGTGAGGCTTGTGCTCTTTGGAACAACAGCTTCTGGTGGTCCTTGACCCCAAAGATATCTGCTTAGCTTTGACGAGGGCCAGGGCCCTTTCAGCTCTGGCCCCGGCCTGGTGGAATGCTCTTCTAGGTTAGATCAGGGCCCTGGGGGACTTATTAGAGTTCCACAGGGCCTGTAAAATGGAGGTGTTCTGCCAGGCCTTTGGTTGAGACTGCGGGTGTCTGTTTACATCGGCTTCCCCTGCTCCACCCCACTGTTTCTGTCTGAATGTAGGTATATTACCAGTGGTGTTTAATGCTCACTCGGCCAACTCTGTTCCATATGGGCATACATACTGACTCATCTGGGAACTTTGTTGATTGATCGCCATCTTGGGAGTTGTGTTATTAGATTTTAAATTAGATTATTGCATTGTATTTTAATTGTTTTTATTTGGTTGTAACTTGCCCTGAGCCTGCTCATGGGGGAGGGTGGGATAGAAATGCAATAAATAAATAAATAAATAAGGCTCTGTTTAAACAGCTTACAGTTAACAGATGGTTAAATGCTGCTCTACTAAGCAGTTAATTGCTAGAGTCCAACATGTAGGAACATTGCTTGTAATTCTTTTTGTTGATAATTGTCCATAGAATATATTATTCATAAACTATTGTAAAAAATTGAGATGCTTATTAATAGAATTCTTATTGAAACAGTGGTAGCTGGAGGAATAGAACTCTGAGTGTATGTACATTTCTAGGATGCTTATAGAAAGGATGAAGGGGGATTTTTTGCTGTGTGCAAAACAGGGATGATTGCCAGCACCTCTCTCCTATACTGTAAGTGCATGCAGTATAGTATCTTCATTCTTCTATGCTATGATACTGTAAACTGGGGCATCTCCCTCTTTTGCCATGTTTTGTGAATATACTGCATGAAGTACTGACAGGCAGAGTGCTTGAAGAAACCAGTAATGTGTGGGAGAGTTGGTTATGGTCATCTTCATGCTCAACAGGCCCAACTTAGTAGGCCTGCCACCATACAGCTTCAAACTAGATTGGCCATTTTGTTGCCCAGCTGTGTTTTTCTTTCTAAAGCTCAGCTTCAGTGCTAAACAAAGGGCAATTTGTAATGTGCACATGCTTAAATGAATTAATATATGCAAATTAGCAGTAGTTATGTACCTAAAATAAATAAAATGAGCATGTCTGTATATCTTATTTTCTGGAAGAGGTGGCAACCATTAGTGTACTGCTAATTTGCTCAGAGTAGTTCTAATCTGCTGATGGCTCAGGTGTTCAAGTGGTACAAGGCTTATAAACTTCTCTTGTTATCCAGGGAAGGCCATTCAGTTTTGTATAAATGAGTTTAATTGTTAATAAAATCAGTGCATTCAAAGGTGCTCATAGTTTTGGAAAGAACAATAATTTTGCTAAATGTACTTCACAGTATGTAGAAAAATAAAATTGGTAATATTTATTATGGTGGCTGAATTTGCAGGAGTAGCCGGAAATACTTGCCATGTGTATGTGTGATGGCAACTACCATGCCGCACTTTAGAAGCCATGCTTACTTTATGTGATTTCGATGAACAGTTTATTTGGGAGTGAATTAATTGTATAAGGACAATGCTCCTTTAATCTGAAATAACAGCAAAGTTTCTCTGCAGTGCCATGGCCCTACGGCCTGATAAATGATATGATGAATTAGGTTTTTCTTTATGATGATATTCTGTGATGTTACTCGGCAATTTTAAATTGTCTCTGTGTGTACTTAGATTACTGTATTTTTATTTATATGCCAATAAAAGGCTTTGGATTGGATTGGCTCCTTTAATGTTAGTTAGCTTTCATGTGGTACCTAATACTAGTTGTACCTGGTATAGCACAGATGCATGACAGAGAGGCCATTCTTATGTTTAAAGAGTTACCTTTTCGAAAAAAGACAGTGCATGGACAAAACGAGAAGGAAGGAATTGCTGTACCAGCATGTAATATTTAAATAAAGTACTGTTTCTTCCAGAAAAGGCTTGTCATTTTATTTACAGTTCCATTTTCCCCCACCCTGTCTATTAGAAAGTTAACAGTGCAACCCAGTGCAGAGTTACTCCAGTAAGACCATGGCAACGAGTCTAGTAATTGCATAGGATTGCACTAACAATGCAGTACTGAGAGAGAGAGAAGATTTTATTGTATTTAGCCATAGGCCATTACAAACCACAGACAGAGAAGAGCACAATAAAACACAAAAATTGTATAAAATAAGATACAGTCCAACATTATAAATCCATAAAACCGAGGTTATGAACAGTTAAAACCGAGGTTCAATGCAGTACTGAGCAATGTGAATGTACTGTATCATTGCAATCCTTAGCAGAGTCGCACTGTTCTAAGCCCACTAAAATCAAAGGTGTAACTCTGTTCAGGATTGCACTGCAAATCACATCCTAAGCAACCTGGCTAGGAGTAAATTTAGCAGGATTTCTCAATAAATGTATTTAATGGTGCATATTCCTCAGAGAGTGTCCTTAAGAGCCTAAGGCTTCTACACACATTTTTTACTGAATGGGCAGCATAGTTATGTCAATTATGTAGAAAACAAAGCTTTAAATAGAATTAGTGAATGTCTGCCTGGGGAAATGCTTATTCTGAAATTAAAGGAGCAGCAGGGGGCGCTGCATGTACAGAACTGCCCATGTAGGTGCTCAACAGCAGAAACCATGAAGTAGCCAGGTGCAATAGCAGTCTTAGCATGATCAACACACTGAAAAATCTATAAATGTATGGGGGGAGGGGTTGTTAAAGACTCTGGTATTAAATACTGTGTAACACATGGGAATGAAACTACTTCATGTGACCCTAATAGATTAATACTTGATGAGTAATGGCTGGTTTGCATATGTGGTTCATCTTATATACATAAAAGGCTTAGTAATTTATTCATGATTCCAGGCTCCCCCATTGGTCCTTGAAGAGTACCGCATCACCCGTTGGCAGATGAACTGCCACTCAAGATTAATCAGTTGGCGTTGGATGGGTGCTGGGTCCGTTCTTCTCTCCCACCCACTGCAGCCTAGGCCACTCTTCTCTGATTGGGCCAGCGTTTCAAGGTCATTTGCATATGGAAGCTGATTGGACCTCACTCCATTCTGCACCTCAACCCCCCCCCCCAGACACTTGGAACTGTCAGTTGCATATGTGACCTGGTGTATCCTGAGGTAAAATATGTCCTCACCCACAACACATCACTTCCCCTTCAAAAGAAACAAACCCAATAACACAACCATGCCACACCACAATAAAGACAGATCACACCACAAGCAGAATACCACAAGGCAATAGGAAAAGGTGCCAGCAGTCACCCTATTACTGCCACTGATATGTACCTGATAGCGTTTCAGAGGATAGTGTGCAGGTCCCAGGTTCATGTTACAAAAGCTGCCTGGGGGATTATGGACCATTCACAGACTTTCAACCTAACATACCTCACAGGGTTGTTGTGCAGATCATATGAGAGAGAGGAGAATGATGTCAGCTGCTTTGGTTCCCATTGCAGGGAAAGACTGCTCTTTCACTAGGTAGAGGCGGCAGGGAGGGGGGAGGAGATGTAAACCTAAAGATAGACAGGCAGATAAAGGTAGGCTGATGGCTGCCTGGAAAGGACATAGGGTTGCCAACTCCAGGTTGGAAACTTCCAGGATATTTTAGGGATGAACCTTGCAGAGGTTGGGGTCTGAGGAGGAGGAAGAGGAAGACCTCAGACAGATACAATGCCATAGACCCCGCCCTCCAAACAAGCCATTTCTTCCTGGAGAACCATTGTTGCCAACCTCCAGGTGACAGCTGGAGAGCTCTTAAAGCTCTGGTGCTAATTCAAAGTGCTGGGGATGTGTCGTATTCTGGCAGGGGACACTGTGAGTATAGAAAATGAATGTGGACAGAGTAGTGTTTTGGAAAATCTTTGGGAATTGTTTGGTGCATTTACCTTGGGGCACCCACCCAGAGCCTCTGGCATTTTCTCACTCTGCTGGCATCAAAACCACTTTAAGGCAAAATAGAGATATGGAGACTTTTCCATCCTCCTTTGCATCAGTCTGTCTTTGTTGGCAACCCTACGCCTGCCAGCACTCTCAGGGTGACTTCATGCCTCCTGACTGGCATTGCTTCACTATCCCTGGCTGCTTGCTCCTGTTCAGCAGGAGTCTCCCTATGGAAGCTGCCTGGGTGATTTCAGACCAGCCATAGACTTTCTGTCTAACCTATGTTGCAGGGTTGCTGTACAAATCACAAAGCAAAAGAGGAGAATGAAGTGAGCTGCTTTGCTTCCCACTAATGAGAAAGACAGAACTTTGCCTAGGAAGAGGCTGCTGAGAGAGGCGGAGATAAAGTTGCCAACTTTAGGTATGGAAATTCCTGGAGATTTCAGGTGTGGAGCCTGGGGAGGGTGGGTTTGAGGAGGGGTGGGACCTCAGACAGGTACACTGCCACAGACACCACACTCCGAAACTGTCAAATGTGTCCATGACTACGGACAACAATTACTTTCTACCACCATAAGGTATGCTGTTCTTCACTACCACATGAGTTCTTTACACTACAAAACACTACTCTGTGTTTACTCTACTTGCAAGATACAAAATCATTGACCCCACCCTCTTTCTAGAGCTCATTGTATCCCCCCCCCCACAATAGGCCTTATTCCTAGTATATAAATGATTACTCTGTTTTGTTACATTTTGAAACCTTCTAAACAATAGCATGCATCCTATGCCATAAGGAAGATTTGATAAATGGGAAAGATGGCAGATGTTGTATTAGCTGTTTTTTTTTCTGATGAGGAAATGTGCTTTTAAAAAGATAGGGAATATGAAAAGCCTGTAATACTGGATGCTATAGCACACTTTAGTAATGCTGGAATAAATTGTTTTATCAAAGATAAAATCTGCACACAATTATGTTTCTTTACAGAGGCTTGGGATCAATGTGTTTTTGCAGATATCGTTTCAAGAAAAATCCATTAGGTTTTGTTTGGTAACAGAGAATTAAAATTCCTATAGAGCTATAGGTAGAATCTGTGGCTCGGCAGGCTGCATTTTGTTGTTGGTACTGAACTTCCACTCATGTTCTGTGCTGTGTACTCAAGATAGATTATTTAGGATTTTAACTATAATTTTATGGGGGGGGGCAGTTCTCCATGTTCTAAAGTGTTCTGTGAGTGCTCAGGCTGATTGAGAAGAAGGGGATCGGAATAGGGAGAATAATTCATGGAGAAGATTCTTAGTTTGATTGGGGGAGTAGAAATATATTGCCCTCTGCGCTCGTCCTTAGTTATTTATTTGAATTTCAGAGGAAATAAGACTATGTAGCAATTTTTGTTTCACCATTTACTTTTTGTATGTACACAGTACCTGCATGTATTACAATACATTTGTTTCTAAGCCTTTACCATTTATTGTGGAATAATGCTATTCAGTTCTTTGGCAGGGTAGACAGAGAGTCCATTTCCTCCCACCTGTCTTCCTGCATATCAGTCAACTGAGGAGAGGCTGTCTTTCTCTCTCTCTTCCTCTGACTTTCCTTGAAATGTGAAGTTCTGCTCAGTGGGCATACAGGTTTCTTCCTAGGTCTCACTGGATGGCTCAGAGATACCTGAGCTGCTCTGTGGACTCAGATTGTGGCAGCTCCCAATACATCACGCCTGGATGGAGATGCCATCAAGCTACCTAGGGAAAAGGATAGGATGACATTTTATAACGGCAAGAGAGGCACACACTGTTCTGGCATTTCACGTAACATGTCACTCAGATTCAATGGTAACAAGGGAGTGATCCACATTCTGCTTGTGCTTCTGGATAATCTCCTTCTGTTCTTAATGTCTCACTGTGTGTGTGTGTGCACGCACACACAAGCATGAACACCTCTTTCCTTTTTTTCCAGGCAAAGGATTACTGTTACTAGATGGCATCTTCCTCTTCTTGATGTCTTTCATTGTGGTTGGCCTGTCAGAATTTCTCTCTCCACTCTTCAGGTAGAAATCCAATTAAAAAACCCTAAGACTGTGTTTTTTATGTAAATGGAATGAGAACACAGGACTAAATATAAGAATCTCAAGTCACTAAATGCAAGATATCAATCCATTCTTATCTGTGTTTTGGCAACATGAAATTATAATATAGTGTTTATATAATATTTCTGCGGTGTTCAAAGCAGTTCAGTATCTTAATAATTCTAACACAGCTGTGTACAGTGGATCAGAATTATTATTTCCATAGTTTGGCTGAGTTGCTGAGAATAAGAAATAGTGACTTGCCTGACTACTCACTGAGTTCATGGCAGATAGGAGATTTGGACTAAAGACTTCTTGGTCTCTTAGTCACTGTGCTCCAGTAGCTTCATTCTGAAGACAGGATGAATATTAGTGATGAAAATGACTGTATGCAGTTCTGGCTTGTCTCTTGAAAAGCATGTTCAGAAATATTCTAGATGGCATTCCTATTTGGTATTTCATCCTATTCTTCTGTAGGGGGAGCCAGAGAATAAAACTAGAATGGGAAACCTGTTTATATACAGTGATGATACTATACTCTGTGAGGATTTCAGTCCTGGCAAATCTTTCTTCTGTCCAAGATTTACTAATCTTCTGAAAAGTATATTATAAACACATTACTATATATCCTATGTAAACTGTGACAAGAATTATGACTCCTTCATTTTCAGTGAATTGGTTTTATGTCCTTAATTAGGCTGATCAGATGAGTGGAAAGATTATTATTTTAATTAGCAATGAGTTTCATAGTGTTGGAAATTTCTCTTAATCACCTTTTAATTGAGACTGAAATGGATTAAAATTACAAATGTTAAATGTAGCTGGTCTAATATTTCCTAAAATTACCATATTATTCTGATATTATAAAACATTATGCCTAAAAGACAGGTAGGGCATAACCTTCACAAAATAAAATCTTTATGTGATATATGTTAAGTAGTAACCTTGTTCCTATTCTCCAGTGATGTTAAGTTTGGGATTTTTGAGAGAAAATACTTTTGGAAGGTAATTTTTGTTTGTATACTGAGTTTAGTCATGTTAACATGTGGGTTTTGGTTAAATCAGGGGAAAAAATGAAATAACTTCCTATCAATAATTACTTTTTTAAATCTGAAAACATATTCCATGTGGTTGTTGTGAGTATAAAATGGAAGAGGATAGAATGATGTTGTAAGCAGCTTTTGAGTCCCCCTTGAGGAAAAAGCAGTATATAAATAGTAAATAAACTGAAAGCAGCAGCATTCTAAAAACTGAAGGAAGAGCTTTTCTGCATGAAATTAAAATGTCTAATTAAAAAAAAATTCCATTACTTGCTTACAAGCTATAAATATGCCAGGTTTTCTGTCTGCAGGTAGTTAGAATTGAGTGTATATTACTAATGTTCCCTTTTTCTGAACAGGCTATTTATTTTTGCTTTTCTTTATATAAATCACACTGGCTGCACTCTAAGCATGATCTCCTAGGAGTAAGCTAGGCTTGCCAGGTTCCCAGTCAAGGTGGGGGATCCTCCACTTTTGCGGACTCCAGCTTGCTGCTAGCCAGCTGGCTGGTGGGAGAAACCCCATCCCCAAACAGACGTCCCCACATGACATTGGTGACACATTGACATCACTTCTGGAAGTGACGTCACTGCGTCAGCGACATCAGGGGTGACACTCCATGGTTTGTAGCCATTTTTACCATAGCGTTTTGACCAAAAAGTAGAGCTTTGCCCCAACATTGCCAACGTGATAACATCAATTTCAGAAGTGATGTCAGCATGTCACTGACGTCCCTGCCCACCCCTGAAATGCTCCTCAAATCCCCCCGCCAGCAGGAGGAAGGCACCTGGCAACCCTAGAGCAAGCACTAGTAAATAAAATTTATTTATTCATTCGTTTACTTAAAACATTTCTATACTGCCTTTCCACCCAAATAGAGTCCCCAAGGCAGTGAGCTTTAAAACATTTTAACATTAAAACATCAAGACATTAAAACAGGACTTCCGGTGATGATGGTGTGCTAGAGCAGACTCACCTCCCAGATCTCCTGGGGGTGAAGCTGCACTCCAGCCAAAGAAGGGGGTGCGCAGGTTCATCACCCCCCCTCAAGAACCCAGTTGAAGGGACCCTGGCCATGGAACTTCTGAGAGGTCGCCTCTTCGATAGCGGAATGGTGGAGAATTGAGGCGCCTCTTCGTTCCGACGGTTTTCCGTGCTGAGAGACCTAATGGACTTAAGCAACGCTAACCGGGGCAAGTGCAGGAGATCGAGCATCCAAAAGATAACATACACGAGGTCCGAGGACCGATTATGCACATGAGTCATTTAAGCGATGTTTAAAGAGAAAAGAAAGCTCCCTACCCTAACCTACGCAGCAGAGATTAAGGCGAGTGGGGGAGGGATGCCTCCCAAGCACATGAACTTTTGAGCAGATGAGGGGGGGAGTGGAAGAAAAAACGCTTAAAACGGTTAAGAAGTACTTACCAAGGAGTGTTTGAGCGTTTAAGCGCATATTCAGAGACTTTCAAAAAAACTTGTAAAAGTAAACAAACTGAAGAACATGGCGGGGAAGAGGATGGAAAAGGAGAAGTTGCTGAAATCGAAAGTGACGGAGAGCCCAAAACCGGAAGGAACCAACGAGCTGGCAAAGACTTTGGCAGAATCCATGCACCCTCTAATGGACCAGCTGAATAACTTCAAGTAACAGATGTCTAATATGACTCAATGTATTACCGCTCAGCAAACCCAGATAAATGAGACTTTGAAAGTGATGAATCAAATAGCTGAGAAGGTGAAAGAAGTGGATGCCACTGCCCAAAAGGTGAAGAAAAAAGTAAAACAACTGGAAAAGAAGCAAGTCTCCACAGAAGATCAATTGCTACAACTACAAATGGAAAAGGCTAACATGATTCTTCGCTTTCAGGGCTTGCCAGAGACTAAAGGAGAGAATCTAAAGGAAATGATGAGTGAAGTATTGGCCCCAGTGACAGAGATGAAGGCGGAAGCACCAAGAAGACAGAGCATCACTTGCCCCAGAGCCCCTAGCTATACCTTGTGGCTAATAGCCACTGATGGACCTCTGCTCCATATGCTTATCTAATTCCCTTTTGAAGCCGTCCATGCTTGTAGCACCCACCACTTCCTGTGGCAGTGAATTCCATGTGTTAATCACTCTTTGGGTGAAGAAGTACTTCCTTTTATCCGTTCTAACCCGACCGCTCTGCAGTTTCATGGAGTGCCCACGAGTTCTTGTATTGTGAGAAAGGGAGAAAAGTACCTCTTTCTTTACCTGCTCTTTCCCATGCATAATCTTATAAACCTCGATCATGTCACCCCTCAGTCGTCTTTTCTCCAAGCTAAAGAGCCCTAAGCGCTTTAACCTTTCCTCATAGGGAAAGTGTTCCAACCCTTTTATCATTCGAGTTGCCCTTTTCTGCACTTTTTCCAAAGCTATAATATCCTTTTTAAGGTGTGGTGCCCAGAACTGCACACAGTATTCCAAATGAGGTCTCACCATTGATTTATATAGGGGCATTATTATATTGGCTGATCTGTTTTCAATACCCTTCCTAATAATCCCCAGCATAACATTGGCTTTTTTTATTGCAGTCACACACTGTCTCGACATTTTCAGTGAGTTATCTACTACAACTCCAAGATCTCTCTCTTGCTCAGTCTCTGCCAGTTCAGACCCCATCAATGTGTATTTATATTTAGGATTTTTGGCTCCAATGTGCATCACCTTGCACTTGGCCACATTGAACCCCATTTGCCATGTTGACGCCCACTCGCCCATCCTTGACAGATCCCCTTGGAGTGCCTCACAATCCTCACTGGTTTTCACCACCCCTTGCACTTGGCCACATTGAACCCCATTTGCCATGTTGACGCCCACTCGCCCATCCTTGACAGATCCCTTTGGAGTGCCTCACAATCCTGACTGGTTTTCACCACCCTGAACAACTTCGTATCATCCACAAATTTAGCCACTTCACTGCTTACTCCCAACTCCAAATCATTAATGAACAAGTTAAAAAGCAGTGGACCAAGTACTGATCCCTGCGGTACCCCACTGCTTACGTCCCTCCACTGTAAATAATTAATTCTTTTTCTACAGACAAATGCAATTGGATATAGATGGTTAACTCCAGAAGGTGTAACCTTCAAGATCAAGGATAAAAAAGAAAAGATTGACTCTGTCCAGAAAGCAATGGGATTTTTAAGAGTCCAGATGGGAGGGCCAGGGAAGGAAGAAGAAAAAGGGGAGGTCAGTAAGTCCAATGGCGAGCTGGACTCGGAATCCTCCGGGGAGGACTCTTTATCAGAGAAAGGGGCAGCAGCCTCTAAAAGTCCTTATAAGCTTCGGAAGAGACTAGGCAAGGAGAAGTAAAAGCTGAAGGACTCTGAATTGTGCCTATAAGAATGTTGAAGTGAGATGCTTTGGGGTGTTTCTGTATGACAGTTACATTTAAGATTTGAAAAAGATAATGTTAAACTTGACTCAGTTGTTAGTAAGATTAACGGGATTAAGACTAAGTGTATGGTTAAAATTGGTGGGATGATCTCCTCTCTTGGGTTTTTAGTCAGTAGTGGGTATCTTTCTTTATCCTATAAATGTAGTTCCCTTTCCCATTTTCTGTTGTAGTTTGTAGTGTTATAAAAAATGCAATAAAAAATCCCCTCCGAGGGCTTAAAAAAATAATAATAAGCATACACAAAATTAATTGCTGTTTTCAAGAAGGGTGTCTGAAGAATTGTGTCCCATAGAGGTGATAACAGATGAGGTTCTAGGGATTTTGGGAAACTATATTGAAAACTAACAAGTCTCCAGGTCTAGATGGCACACATCTAGAGGCTCTTAAAGAACTCAAATGCAAAAATGTTCCTAATTTGCTAACAAAAATATACCACGTTTCACTAAAATCAGCATTCTTGCCAGAGAACTGGAAAACTGCAAATGTAACCGTGATTTTTAAAAGGGGCTTCAGAAGAAATCCTAGAACTTACAGGCCAGTTATCCTGTAACTAAACCAAAGCAGAGCTTGTCAGGTCTTGGAAGCTAAGCAGGGTCGGCCTTGGCTAGTATTTGGAAGGGTGACCTCCAAGGAATATCAGGGTAGTGATGCAGGCAATGGCAAACCAACTCTGAAACATCTTTTGCCTTAAAAACAAGTCTAGCTTGCCATCTAGTGGTGCATAATCTGTTGGTCATCCCCAAGGATGCCAAATCAGCTGTGACCAGGGCCAGGGCTTTTTCGGTGGCGGCTCCTACCTGGTGGAACGAGCTCCCAGGGGAGATCTGGGCCCTGCGGGACCTTATGCAGTTCCGCAGGGCCTGCAAGACGGAGCTCTTTCGCCAGGATTTTGATTAGGAGCCGCCGCCCCACTATACCATCACCGTCACTGCACCTAAAGGACATTTTGGCGAGGCCCTGAGGAAGAACTTGGGAATGTTTAGAAGATCCTGGAGAAGAACTGAGCTGAATCATCTTGGACTTACGTTTAGTAATTGATTGAGCACCACTGTTTTAATGTTGGATGTTTTTATTATGTATTATATGTTTTAATTATGGCTCGGTTTTACCTTGCCCTTGTGAGCCGCCCTGAGCCCATTGGGGAGGGCGGGATATAAATATGAAAAATAAATAAAATAAATAAATAATGCTAAAAGAGCTAGAATTTCTGGCTGCCAAACAATCTCTCCTGAGCTAAGACAAAAATGTGTGAGCCGGAGGCTAAAAAACTCTGAGCTAGCTCACACTAACTCAGCTTAGAGGGGACACTGCTCCCAAGTGGGTAGAATGGGAGGACAGCCTCATGGTAACAGGTATGGTTCCCTCCACCCCTGACTTATGTTGATTTGGGGTTATGCAGTGGCAGCTAAGGTAGAAAAGCATCTCCTCCTATGCCATGTTTTCTGGGTTCCAAGAGTCTGGAAGACAGTTCCGTAGTCAATTACAGGGTTGTCAACTCTGGATTGGGAAATACCTGAAGATTTGAGGGGTAGAACCTGGGGTGGGAAGGGGTGGGGAGGGACCTCAGCAGAGTATAATGCCATAGAGTCCACTGGCCAAAGCAGCCATTGTCTCCAGGAGAACTGATCTTGGTCATTTGGACATCAGTTATGATAACTGGAGATCTCCAGGTACCTGGAGGTTGAGCGAGGGGAGGGCAGGGTTTGGGGTGGGGAGGGATTTCAGCAGGGTATAATGCGATAGAGTCCACTGGCCAAAGCAGCCATTGTCTCCAGGAGAACTGATCTTCGTCATCTGGAGATCAGTTGTAATAGCTGAGAAATTTTCTGTAGGGGAAATGACGTGCTGTGGCTGGGGAACACAATGATTTCTGGGAGAGCTCCAGGTCCCACAGGGAGATTGACAACTCCAGTGACCGTGTAAGGGAAGATTGGGATATGTATTTTTCCTCAGAAAACATTAAATGACTCCCAACAGCAACAGCAAACTGTTTAGAATGTTAGAGGCAAAGGCCAATCAGGCCACATATACAAACGACCTCAGTGTTCCAACTGGCTATGGGGGAGAGAGGAACAGTAAACTGTTTAGAATGTTGGAGGTGGGACTCAGGCAATGCAGCCAGAGGATAGGGACAGCTTCTGAGTGACACATCATGGAGTCAACTGATTTAGGAGCATGTGGAATGTTCAGAAAGTACCACTTTACAATTATATATGAGAGATAACACAAGTGCTAAAAATAATGTATTATGGGAAAGAAAACAGACATTGTATCTTAATTTGGAAATATTCCTGATTTGCTTACAGAAGAACAGGTGAATTATGAAGGTATAAAATTGCCCTATGTTTATCAAATCCAACAACTATAATGGTTGTACTTCCCTGTCTTTAAGTGAAATCTACACAACTGTGATGGCTCAGACTGAAGTACGCAGGAAGCAGAAAGAATCCTTGAAATCATGAGCTCAACAGTATCCTGGGGGACTCTTGATGGACCGTTGGTAATCGGATTCACGTGAAGCATATATTGCAAAATATTTCCAATTTCACAAACGAACTTAACACAAGGCAAATACTCTACAGGAACCAAGATCTTACCTGACTCTCCAATCAGTGTAAAAAGTACTCCTGGTTCAGTGCTGCTTGATGACACTACTTACTATAGCTAGTGGTAGCCTCCTGCAGGAGAAGATTATTGCAGATTTGACAGTCGTTGCAGTGCTCCAGGCCTGTCGGATTCAAACCTGATTCCTGTTTGATTAAATGCACCTATTTTATCCCAGAATCTTATAGTTTGTTTTCTAGATATATTTTAGCACTTTACTGTGAGCAGGGTTTTTTAGTAAGCAGCTTCCCCCTTGGTGTTCAGGCTTATTATCACATGAAGCATTTATTCAAGTTTCATTAGGTTTTATAAGCATTTAATTTTTATTAGGTTTTTTGAGGATTCATAAACAAATGGTGTAACTGAATGATGTTATTTTATTTTATTCATAAATACCTAACCTTTTAAGTTGTTATTAGAATCTTGTACTTCTGCTGCTGTAATGTTACAACCTTTTAAAAAGTCTAATTTCTTAAATTCAAAAATTAATGCAGAATAAAATTTATCTAGTTCTAAATGGTGAATTGTATCAAATTGTCTAGTAAGAACCAGTGAAATGCCTTGACTATAAAGATTAGATTTATTTGGGAAAGTTGATATTTTCATGCAGGAGATAGTGAAAGCATCCTGTGTTCTTAAAAAAAAGAAGAAAAAAGAAGAGATATTGGATTTCTGAATTGTTGCCAAGTGGGTGATAGACCTCCCTGATGGGTGTTGGGTCTTGAGACACAGTACCTGTAAGATTTTGAATCATCAAGTGTTACAAATATTATCTAATAATATTCGTCATCAATGCTTGCTGTTTGTGTGAAGTGTATTTTCACCAGATTCCATATTACCAAACTATTTGAGAGAGTACCCCGCTCCCCCTGGTATTTACAAATCCTATAATCTGATTCCTGGGTCTGCTAGTAGAGGTTTTTTGAAGTACAACAGCATGGTCAGTGACTCCACTGGCTGATGTTCAGGGCCATAGGATTGCTCAGTAAGTAGTCTACTGTACTTGATTGTAGCCAGAAGACCAAAAAGCAATAGGTACTGCTGTATTTGGGTTTCTAATTATGAAAGCATGTAAAGTGTGTCAATGCAGTTTGCTGATACATGCCTTCTGCGTTTGAAAGCTGTTAGAATACTATTTTTGCCAGTAACTTTATTTTATCTTATCTTACCAGGTTCAAGAGTTTCCTACATGAGGTCATAATTGGTGATATGATATTAAACATAGACATTGATCGTTCAGTAAAAGCACATTGAAATTACTCAGTAGTACTAACTGGGATAGGTAGAACAACAATCTGTGATAGGAAGCATATGGTCTTGCCTTTGAGGACAGAGTGAATGGATTAGTGGTAAGTAGAAATAGGCATCCCTTCTAAGCCAACTCACCCAGGTAACCTGTTTTTAAACTTTATCTTCATCACTGTTTAATTACATCCTGTTTGTCCCTTTCACCTTTTCCATGCCTGTTTTACAAGGACTGCTGCAGCTACATGACATCACAACATGTGGTTGTTTTGCTGTTTCTCATTTCTTCCAAGGAGGTCAGGGCAACGTATATGGGAGTTACCCCACTGTAACCTAGCAAAAATCCCATGAGGCTGAATGAGTGAGACTGGTCCAAAGTCATCTAGTGAATTTTTAAACTGGGATTTGTAATCCCCCTGAAGGCGTGTGATGTAAGGTGAGGCATTTACACTTTTAGCATCTGCACAAATTGGAGTGTTCATTTATAAAGTTTACTTTTGTTTTCTACAGAATGTCTCACACAGCAGTGGCCCTAAATAAATATTTATTAGCTGCTGTCTGCTCACTTATTGAGAGGATGAGGAGAAAATTGAGTGTCTAACCTGTGTCTAACCTTAGGAAGTATGTATCCGATGCACAGCATACTTTCCTCCTGCATCATTAAAGGATTACTTCTGTTAAATGCAGTATTGTGCTTGGCATTGTATAGTCAGTAGAAGCGTTCAATATACTCAGTTTATTAGTAGGCTTTTTAATATCACAGGTTGTGAAAGGACATTTCAGTACCCTAAAATATACTTTATATTAAGAGTATGAATATATATACATATGACAGATGCATTAGTATGTGTATATGTTCCATAAAAGGTAAAACTCCATAATGCATTATAACCTAAACGTTAACAGATGCTGTGTGGAATCTTCCTGATTAGTTAAAATTTTTATATATAAAATAGAAGGATTTCTTAATATATATCTTAGGTCTTTTAAGAAGGTTGTAGTGGTAGTGAACATTGTATTGTGATATAATCTTTGTGAAGGACAAATGGTAGCATGTTCCTAGGATTTAAATTTAAGGGCTTTACACAGCAACCTTTAACCCCAAAGAGACGCTTGAATAGGCCTTTACTTATTTTCTAAGTGAACATGCTTGAGTAGCTAAAGCTGTGGTTTCACGTAACAGGGAGATACATTTTTTTAGATCCTTTGCTGATTATATTGTGTGAGGGTCAACCCTGTGCCCCATTTGTAAAGCCTGGGTCGTAATCAAGACTTGAAGGTCACGTCTTCAAGTGCCCAAACCATTACCATGCACTAATAGACCTTGATAGCTCATTTTGTAGTTTTTAGAGTTAAGCTAGGACATTGTTTGGTCTAATTTCAAATCCTGCATCTCTTGTGTTGGGTTAATTAACATCTACTAAATGTTTCTTGTGGGAGGCTTAGAACTAAACACACATATTTTTTGTGGGGATAGGTAATTCTGAAAACATTCAAGAGATAACAGTAAGACGGAGCTAAAATTGTGCTGAAGATTCTGTTATTAAAGTGTTTGAATGTAAATGTAACAGACTTTATGGATATAACTGGACAGATATGGTAGAGTGTTCACTTGTGACAAGCTAATCCAGTTCTGAAAATGAGTCTTATTTTTGTTTGTTTATAGTCTGAGGGTCAAAGCAGACTTATACTGTGTAAAGTCAATGCAGCCAGTAGGATGAGATATCTAACAGACAATGTAATATGACTAGGATTACAGCAATCTGAAGCAAGACATAAATATTAGACATGATATGTTAAACACTGCAGAAAAAACCAAAACAGTGAGAGTAGGATAATACTTACAGCAAAGATAATATGGGGCTATTCTAAACAGTTTCTAATTTCATTGCAGTCAGTGGGTTTATAAGGGTGTAATTCTGTTTAGGATTTTACTGTTAACCAAATTATATTAATATTTTCATTTATAGTCCACCTTTCTCACTGGGACCTAAGATGGATTACAAGTATGATTTAAAAAAATCTTTTCACTCAATCAGTGGTTATAAAATACATTTGACTCTAACAGCAAAAATGTCTAGAAAGGCAAAATAATGCAATTGGGCTGGGATTGAAGAACAAGGGAAAAACCAAAACAATACATGCAACCATATCTGTTTAGGTCAATAAGACAATCACCGTGGCAAAGATTTTATCCCTACTAAAAGCAACTTCCCAAGCTTTGTTCCTTCTACAAGAATGTCCTCCTGAATAATTCTGTTTTGCACATTTTGTGAAATTTTAGAAGCTAGGTGGCCTTCCTAATAGGCTCAGGTAGACTGTTTCACAGTGTAGGAATCAACATGGAGAATGCAAGTTAACAGACAATTGCTCGATTTACCTGTTTGTAGATGCTTTTGCTCAGATGAGCGAGGCTGTCACAGTGTGGTCCTGCAGTTACATGGGTACAATGCCATTAAAGGAATTGTAGGTGATAGCTAGCACTTTGAATGGAACCCGGTAACTGATTGGTAATCAATGAAGTGTCTGCAGAAAGGGAATGATATGCAGGCTCCACTTGGCACCCAATAGTAGCTGGGTACCGTGATCTGCAGGCCTGTAGGCCGCGTGGGGCCCTGGGGCCCCGGCCACCTCGTGCGGTTTGCGGGCCCCCTCCCCTGATCCTCTGCTCCCCCCCATGGCCTCGCGGGAGGGAGAGGAGGTGGCGGCCCGTCAGAGGGAAGACGGGGCGGGAGTCAGGACTTGTCGCTGGCAGCCAGCAAGTCCGGACAGCGCGGTCCCTCCGAGTCTCTTCCCCAGAGTGGCGCCGGCGCTTCTAGTCCAAGGGCGGCTGGCCGGCGGTTCCTAAAAAACCCGACCCCCGCCTTGCTTCTCAACATTGCAGCAGCGCTCAGCGCGACTCTCCATCCACGCGGGAGCTGGCAGCGCTGTGTGGGACTTCAAGGGGGCGCTGAGCGCTGCTGCAATGTTGAGAAGCAAGGCGGGGGGTGGGGTGTGTGTTAGGAAGCACCGGCCAGCCGCCCTCGTCTCGGACTACAAGCGCCACTCTGGGGAAGAGGCTCGGAGGGACCGCGCGCCATCCGGGCTTGCTGGCTGGCTGCCTTCCATTCCATGTAGGTTTTTTTTTAAAATGTTCAGTCGCACAGTCGAGTCCAAGTCCGACTCTTTGCGACCATGGCCCAGATCACGGCAGGCCTTCCCCCCTCCTACTCCCTCCCCCCTCCCCCCCTCCTCGGAGGTCGGCCAGAGCAGCCCTACACTGAGCTGAGTATC